TGTTCCCAAGTCAGACGCACAACCGCGGAAAGAAATATAAACCATTATAGAAGAGCTTGAAAACTGAGAAGGGGCTAAAACTCAAAAGTATGTTGGAATGACGCCAAGGCCAAATTTTTAAAAAACCTTTATGGTGAGTGTAGATAATCAATAAAAAAATACGTAACTTACTACTGGTAGGATCGAATTGTCGAATCATGTCATTTGTCGAATCATACCACACAGAAAACTAAGTCTCTTTTTTTTTATTTCAGTAAAATACTGAGTGACATTTCTGATCGATGATAGATTCATAGACCCATTCTTGAGTCTAAGAATATTCGCCGTCCACCTGAGCAAAAAATATTCAAGTTAGAAATTACAATTAAGCAAGATCAAGCGTCACCACACACATTACTGGTGTAAAAAATATATATATATATTCCAATCAGTGACCTTTAAACGTCTGTAAAAGTGTATTTAAGATGAATTTTTTAGTCGTGATTGATTCATACCTATCAATTTCAAAGAATTAATTTTGATTGTGACGGGAAGTGCGAATTTCCTCCTCTCTTATAAACCTATTTGTTCAGAGGCTCGGCGGAAATAAACGATCTTCAACATCAGTTACTTGAAGAAGATAAAAGCAACAGTATTTTATGAAATTTCCTGATTGACTGTAATGACAAAGAGAATCCTTACTGAGGAAAAATCCTAAGGCTCAAGGGCAAAAAAACGTTTTTAGCACCATAACCGCACACTGCGTAAATCAGACAAACTACCGGTTTAGAGATTTAACGAACGTAGTCGAACTACACCAAGTCGAGAAAACGAATGAAAAACTTTGAAACAGCGGCTAAAACATCCGCTCTCTAAGGTCTTATATTGGCATTTAGACTATTACCTCCCACGTTGTAGAGGTTTGAGGCCCATGCAAGTTTCCAATTACCAACATTACTATACTCGTTTCCAGGGATGCTCGTTTTAGTCCCTGAAGCCACGTTCCCTCTGTCGGCCGACAGAGGGCCAACAGAGTGGTTAAACGTCCGTGCATGTGCGAACGTTTAAACGAGGCAGGCGAACAGTGGTCTTACAGGATCAATGAAAAACCACACAAGCATATAAACTAGGCTCACAGTCTTTTAAAACAGCACAACTCGTTTAAATGAAGCCCAAAACAAAATAGCATATGAACAAAATAACCTTAATGAAATAAATTTTGCCGGTTCCGGAAAAGTCATGAGTATAGCTCTTTATTTTATTTATTTATTTATTTTTTTGGCATTTTGTAGATTTCTATGGGCGGTTAAATTTTTTTTGACAATTTGCATGACATCGGTTGTTTCCTATATTTTCCTTAAGATTTTTAGGCAGGAAATTGGCGCGCAACTGCCAAAATAGCCGACCATTTGCGTTTACTCTGCGTTTGAATTAGGCCCTATAGATTGTGCTAGTAAATGAAGTATATTATGTCATTGGCATTGCACGATTTTTTCCAAATTATGATCAAAATCATGCTCGCTTTTGAAAATCCTGCTATTTTTCTTTGAGTAAACTTTTCAAAAAAGGAAATACAAAACAAGTCCAAATTATATATTTATTCATTATTAATATAGCACGATTTCTCCTTTAATTTAAGTTAGATAATTGCCCTGATGAAACATAATTAACTATTGCACTTAATTCTAGACTAGAAGCGGTGACTCGATGTATCAAAATGCACAATGTTAAAATCATGTTTCTCTTCGAATTCGACGCCGTTTTGTTGCCCGTGAAAGCGGAAACTGAGACCAAGGTAAACTTTACTTCCGGTAATTCTAGTCCTTTAGACGACGAACGATTCAGTATTGCGGTAACCTCCCCCCCTCCCACAAGACATTAAAAACTGAAAATAGACTGGACCATGGACCAAACTTGAAATTATCAATTATGCGACAAATTATGCTAGAACAATCTATAAAGGCTTAGTTTGAACGCAGTTTTGATTCTCAACGAGATCAGCCCGTTGGCGCGATCGAATAATGTCCAATCAGCTAGCTAACATAGCCAAAGAAAGAAATAAAAAATAGAGGAAAAAAAAGAAAAAGACAGCGGAATCATTAAAAAATGCGTCTTCCGACAGAGTTACTGATTTCCGTTAGAAGCTAATTACGACTCTCACATTAACGATATTCAGCTGCCTGCCTGACTGATCGAACCTGTAGAACACGTCAGTTCTGTGCACTATCAGAACTGGATTGAAATCGAAGTGGCTCAGCTAATTAATTTTCAATTTTAAAAAGTTTTGAGTGCCGAACGTTGCGGACGTTCCTCGAGGAACTAAAAACAAACGAGAGACCTCAACTCGCATGAACAGATAAGGCAGGAAAGGAATGGTCCTTCGCTCGCCATCTACACTTGCATGAACTGATAAATGTTCCACCAGATTCTTCCGATCAGATTCTGTCTGACCACGACTTGTATGTTGAAAGCAGTTTTTCTATGCGCAGAGAAATACCGACGGGGTGATACTCTGTAAGGCTATTTTTACTAAAGAAAAGACGATATCAGACAGCAGTTATTCTGCGCTCGATTTACGTGCCAAATATCACACAGTACCGAGAGCCGCTGAAAGCACTTAGATATAAATATTACAATCGGACAAAACAGTTTATAATCGGAATTTACAAAAACAGTTGAGTCATTAGTTGAATCCTAAGTTTCTTGAGGAAAAGGACTGAAACCTTGATGATGGCCATATAATGCTCTTCTTAGGTCGCATAAAATCGTTTTCTCAAGTTTTCATCTTTCAGGTTACTTTTCAGTCCAAGCATCATTTCCATCCTCAGAAATGTTCAACGTCTCTTTAAGCTTAAGAATTGAAACAAGAAGTAGTGTTGTCTAATATGTTTGCGTTTACCGTGCTTTGTTTACTTTGCATTCTGATTCTTTTGATGTAGCAAACGAGTTATTTAGCAATACAATTCATTGTGATTAGATTGATAATGAAATGATTACTCATAAAACAAGCTCCAAACAGTTTATAGGGCCCAAAATACAACACCAATACTTACCTCCATACTGGGCGTGGCAAATGAACACGCACCGTATGGACCCTGCAGATTTAACACTCCGCTTTCAATGACTTCTAATCTACGGACCATGTTAGAGAGGCTGCTTCTCGTGTTGATATGAAAACAAATAATCTCACCCCCTCTCATCCCGTAGAACACAGTCATCTGGAAATTGAAAACAACAATCGACTTCATTTGCGTCAGAACGTCAATCGCATCCCAGTCCCCTTACCTACGTAGCTGCTGGTTCACCTGGCGCTTTACAAAGAATGAAAATGGGCGTGGGCGTCGCGAAAGCGATGAGTAGAGTTACAAATACAGAACTTTTTTCTTTCCCATTCCTTTCGCGTTTCGCGGTTCAAGTACACGAATCACAAAGCCCAACCAGCTTTTGTCATCACTATCACCTGCTTTGTGCCCTGAGGCATTTAATTCTCCAAAAACAAGATGCAAAAAAAAAAACAGATAAATTTATTTTCCGCGTCATGAAAGATATGTTGTTGAGCGAAAGATGACCAAATATCTTGCAAGCTTTAACTTGAATAGTAAGAATTCGTTTGAACCCTACTCCATGTCGGTTTACAGGATACCAGAGTACTCTGAGTGTTTGTCAATAAGATTTTTTTTTTGTTTAAGTCTTTCCAAGGCGCCGGAAACATAAAACTTTCATATCGCCGATATTGCGTCTCTATTAAAAACGTGCGGTTTCCAACGTCAGCTGGTTTAAAGAAAGATAACTATATCCCTACAATCAAAATTGTAAAACGCAATTCCAACATCAATGTCATGATGTGATGTGGCGAAAAAGTAAGCACTCACCTTGCACTTTGCTAATCCGGATACAAAACAGTGGTGTACTTCAGTTGGAATCGGCGAGTAAGTTCTCCTCGGTGGATGAATTCAGACTTGTGTCACATAGCTTTAATTTTCACCAGTATGATTTTAAAACGAAGCAAGCATTAGATACTGCAGACTGTTAATAACTGTTTAATGCTTCCGTGTTGTCGGGTTTTAACCAATCGCTTTTGGTCAACGTAGGAGTAAAATGAGCAAAATTGTTTTACTTGAGTATTATGGACCTTACTTCTCAAGGACGTTTCTCGGTGACATGATTGTGAATTGGCTTTGTAATAAAATTTTGAGCGGTAAGGTTACAAACATAAGAGATTTATTTTGGATGGGCAAGTTTGGAAAGTGTCTAGCAAGAATAATTGTCGATACCTTAAGCAAGTACACTCTAGTTCATTAACAGGAAAAAACCGAGAATAAATCTTCTTGACAACAAATAATTCATCACATCATTTAATTAACACAACAAGGATTGCTGAAGGAAGCCTTAGGTATCATGAGCAAAAATAAACATCATTTCCATAGGACCATTTGACATTACGCCTTTTAAAAATGACAAGGAACTTAACAAGAATGAGCTTTACAGGAAGTTAACAGGTATTGTTTCAATCATCCATCATTTGGCTGGATTCCAAATGGATTTTGCAGCATTTATCCGATACCGAAAGCCAGGGGTTTCTAGAACTTTTTTTCATAAGCGGCGGCCAGTGATGCAAAGGCGACTGTGCCCGGAAAGGGGTCGTAAGGCGAAACACAAACACGAGACCCTGCTCGTGAGCTAAAGAGACAGCAGTAAGAGGTCTCATAGGCAGCGGTAGACCACTAGTAATCGGCTTTAGCTGAAACCCCTTGAAAGCTTGTTGCCTTGTTACAGAGAGTGTAGGTCTGTGAAACGTACAAAACTGGGAGAACAACTCCTACTACAACCAATTGCGCTTTGGCTGATGTGAAGTTGATTTAGAGGGCCTCGCTTTATGAACAAGAATTGTCACGGAAACGCATGGAAACCTCGTCAATGAATTTTTCACGCCACCGAACCAAACTAAACTTTAATTTCAACTTTTTTTCTTACCACCTGAAATTTTTCATCTAAGGAGACATTTACTCAATTCTCCGACAAAATTCACCAGCGTGTAGCCCAGAATTGATACAATTATCATGTAACTAGACTGAGTTTGCTTCTTCAGAAGCAAATATGGAATAATAAACAGATAAACCAGTAATGGCAACCATGATTTGTTTGTCTACTAAAATTAGGGTGACACCTGGCTCTTGTTTGCAAAACACACGTACCAAATTATTTATTTTGGCTTGTTAACTAGATCCTGTTTGTCAACCTACTACGTGACAAGAAAGACTAATACAAGTGGTAATGAACTGTGTTTCTCAGCCTGGAGATGAGTGTTTGTTATGTTTGAAAATTCTTTTATTGTGATCCAAGAGAATATAAACTCTGTGTTGCGAATGCCAAGTGAAGCCGTTCTTCGCAAACTTCTCGATTTTTATTTTTCTCCGATAAGATACAATATGCTTCTCTCGTGTCGATCTAATCCTAGGTGAAATTACTCCTCTTCTGTATTCAATTTGTATTTTTCAATCAGAAAGTCCCCCCATTTCAACTGTAAATATTGACCAAATCATATAACACAACCTTCTTTACACACTCTCTTATATAATCTCCTGTGTGATCTTCCAATTTTTTTTTCTTTTAAAGTTTCTCATACAACGCTGGAATACTGTGAACGAGTGTTAAAGCTGATGTTAGCAGACACCCACGAAGCTCGATACATTAAACCCGCCGGAGCAGGGTCATGGAGTTGACAGTGTTCGGTTTTGGCATCATTTAGAGACACCTTCTGTCGAAATTGAAGAACGCATGATCAACAGATGTGTGCTCTACCAACTTTCTAAAGTGGGTCAGGAGGGGAGAACGAAAGGTTGGCTATGGGTGGGTAAGCTCTAGACCCTGGACCCTGAACTGAGGACTACGAATCTAGAGATCAAGATGCTGGAGATATCTAACTCAAGTTTTTTTCCTGTAGAACTGCGTTGTGCTCAAGAGAAATGATGAGACAGTCGCATTATTCTCTCTAGGTTACGCTGCGTTGTACTTTGTTGTACTGCCTTTTGTCTGTTGTGTTGCATTGCATTGTGACATGTTCTGTGCCAATTTGCACCATGACACGTTTTTTGAGCTCACGTATTTACATTACGACTAGGCAGAACCCCTCGCGCTTTGAATGTTTAAATTCTGCCATCATTTAAACTTCGATTTGTCAGAACACTCTCCCATTTACTTCTTTCTTTGTGTCGGAAAATCGTTTAATTTGGAAAGTAGTTATCAATCACGATCACAGACCTTAAATAATGAACAAAGTATTTGGGTTTCTTTTTTGACGGCAGACAAGGTATACATACTGTAATTAAAAATATTCAAATTTTGTACTCATTGCATGGTAATGCTCACTAGAAAAGTAGCGAGGATAAAGCCATTCACAACGTGAATTATTCAAATATTTTATAACCTCGAACGAAATGTTTGAGATTAATTTCACTTTTTAGATTATTTATACCTCCTATAAGTTTAACTTAATCTTTGACCCATTACACTAAGATTTTCTTGCTTTCAATCTCGTTTCAGATAAGTGAGAGATGGATTTGTTTTGAATATAATCCAAGCGCTTCTTTGGTCGTTTACCTCCTTAATCTAAATAATTATATTCAAAACAATTACTTCACTTTCGCTCAACAGTAGGGATTCGAATTACACGTGAAACATCTCGAAACATCTGCAATACCTGATGGGAGTTGGTTCCACTTCGAAAGAAAGTGAGAGTGTTCATCGACTTTCAGTTGAAATTTGCATCTACTACATTTCAATAATCAATCCACAACAAGGAAAATTGAAATGGAAACTTACTATGCAGATTTCTTAAAGAAAGAAGATCACACCGGAAAGTGGCGAGTCTACTGGACGACTCTGAACGCGACCGGGCTGTATTTTCAATTGGGAAAAATGGGGGCAGAACATGAGAATTTCCAACAGTTTGTCGAGATTTCCCCTGGATCAACGTGTGCTCTGGCAAAACGAAGAATGTACAGCTTTCGATTTAAGTTGGAGACCGATGGAGTAACTTACACCTTCAAATGTGATTCGGTATTCCAGAGATATCGCTGGATGTACATGATAGATTTGGTTGTGAACGGTCGACCACCAGAAGCACCACCAAACACTATTCCTCGTCCAAATGTCACTGACTCAAAGCATAACAACACTAACTCCTTCGACGAGAAAGATTCCTGCGATCAAAATAACGCGAAGCCGAATAATTTAATCTTGAAATCTTCCAGTTTCACTCAGACATTTCAAACATTCAAGCGATTAGCGAGCTGGCGCAAGAAGAGGAATAACAGTCTTCCGTCAGCAAGATGTCTACGCAAGATAGGAACGATCTCAACAGGAAAATATGAAAAATTATCCAATATCCATAGTAGCTTCGATTTTGCTGATACTAAGGATTTATTTGATAAACAATACACGGTATGATATACGTGCGTCAGGCCATGCGAGACGAGACGAAACGAGTCACGCGATCAATCTGATTTGAAATTGCGTGACGTTAAATGTGGACGAGGTCCTGTGGGGAAATGTTCACAAGTGGTTTTCGCCTCGAACAGGCTAATATCATCGTGAAAGATAAGGCATTTTAGCACAGGCACAGTCAGACCGGCGTCAGACAGACGTGAGTCAAAGCTGAGACCATTCAAGTAGGTACAACAATTAATGACAAAAATGATCTTGGAAGTTCTCATTCGATTTTTAGACACCCCCTTCTTCCCATAAAATGTTTGAGTCCAACCGCGAAGGTCGAGGGGGAAAATTCAACGATAAAGCGAGAGTGTAAAGGGAGTGTGGCGAACACTGGTACAACTACGTAGGAGTTTTAACCCTTTAACTCCCATGAGTGACCAAGATATTCTCCTGACAATATCAATACAATATGAAGCAGATAAGTGATGAGAAAAAAGAAAATACCAAATTCTCGAAACTAACATCGCAAGAACCATACAGCAGACAGTAAGGAGAATTACTAGTGAGATCTTGGGAGTTAAAGGGTTAACGCAGCAGAGGGAAAAAAACCATATACTCTCGGGCGCTTTATACACTAGACCCATCGGACCTAAACAAGGAAGAATTTCAAGCATACCCAAGTAATCGCTTCTCTCTGTTTATAAGTAAAGAAGTTTCTTAAGCGAAAAAGCAACTGCTATCAGCTCTATGTTAAGTTTACCAATTCGGTAGTTTATACTTGTTTTGACCTGATGGGAGTAAACGCAACGGAAATCTTGTATTTTTTTCTCTATCGTGATTTTATTCCCTCACTTTCCTTCACATATTTGATTCCACTTCTCCATTGAAAAAGGTACATTTTCCTTCCTGCACAATCAATTCTCCATAAAATTTACGCTATTGCACGTGTATCGAGACATCAGTTAGATGGCTTTATTTGCATGCGATCAACGCAGTTTAGTGAGGAAGTCAGTCCTCCCTTGACATTAATCATTCTCTGACGCCCGTTTCAAACGCCGAACCTCTCGTGTGTCGCACTAACCCTGACTAAATCCAAAAGTGGCCATAAGGTTTTAACCCTTTCACTCCCAAGATCTATTTAGTAATTCTCCTTACTATCTGCTATACAATTCTTATGATGTTAGTTTAGAGAATTTGGTATTGGATTAACTAATCCCATAATTGATATTTTTCTCTATTCTCATCACCTACGTGCTTGATATTGTATTGATATCGTAAGGAGAAATTCTGTCTAAGTCACTTGTGAGAGTGAAAGGGTTAAAAGCCGTACCTAATGTTGTCGACCTCATTCATATCTATAGTAACAAATTGATTCTACCCTGAACTCGCGGCTTCGCCCCTTTTTTTAAGTAAGGACCCAAATAATTGCCACAAGCCACCATTTCGTCTGACACACAGAAGAGAGGCACAACATTTAAATAGGCCTAACACCACACCTACAGTTAGAGGTTTCTCTTGAGAAGATTCTGCGGTAAATGCGGAATGGTTTTACCGCGCCCAAAAGAGGATTAGCTAAGGAAAAACTTGTAAGGCTCCCTGAGGAAAGTCGAGTAAATGACTTTACATGGAGAATTGTCAAAGAAAGTGTAAAGGATTTCAGGGAATTCCCCACAGCTATTTTTTCTACACAAGTACATTTGTCACGAAGAACTTGTAAGTGTAAATGCTGTCAAATGATCAGTCATGGGTAGCACAACTAGCTCCGCTAATGACGATGTTCTGATGTAATCTATATATAACACTATAAATAATTCAAGGTAAATAATAGGTAAATAATATCGGCCCTTTCACAATTGCACATTATCATTCGATATGTATATATCTATTTTGAATTAACAACTCTGATAATAAATATTGATACTCTTAGCTTGAAAGATCTGGAATTCATTTGAAATATTGTAATAATTAATATGTACAGAGGATATGAATTGAAAAACCACGTTGTTTTCTTATGTGTAAAAATGATGCCTTCTGAACCATAAGAATTCAATTTGTTTTTTAAAAAAATATTTTCATAGACATTAAAAACGGGTTAGCAATGATCAGGTTTCTGGTTTACTGTATTCGTTATTGTACTTTACCTTTAGTTTACCTGCTATAATCACTGTTGCAGTTTAGTTTTGTAGAAAGAAACGGAAAAACTTATAGGATAACCAAAATATTTGAAAATTCAACTGCACATTCTGCTTATTACCAACTCTGAGTAAATACTATTAATTGGTCCCATCACGTGATATCTGGGTAAGAAGTCGGTCTGTCTGTTACTGTTTTCCAACAATGGAGATGGAACTTCATCCTCTTCCTTTATCAAGGACCTCATGTCTACGACCTGAAAACCACATCGCTTTAAATTTCAGCTCGCTTGATTTAATGCATCTACTTCTATAGGCCTACGACTCCCAGGAGCGTTCATGATTAAGACTGTTTAACCACGCCGAAAACGGGTAACGTCTCGGTATACCAAAAAATTATAAGGAAAGGCCAACAAAGAATTCTATCATTGTTTATTTAGGAAAATTAATTCTCACATCTTGGGATTCAAGTTATATGTTACGTGAGTGGTTAGTATTACACAGAAACTCTGGTAAAAAGTGCTTTTCCAATAGTGTCGCACAAAAAAAACTTACCCCAACGGCCAATCAGAGTAAAGAAAAATCTTATGAGGAGCCAATCAGAACTCAACGTAAGAATGAGGCAAACTGGCTGAAACGCTGGAAAAGATAGTGGACAAGTCGCGATTTGTTTTAGTTTGGAATAGGATTGGTTGTGGGGGTTATTAGGAATAACTTTGACACTCACTGGAAAATTGCCCCAAATCACTACGGTGATCTCTGATAAGCGATGGTTACCCTCTCAATATTGACCATCAGTTGCTAGCCGACCATGAAGCCAAAGAGATATCAGGAATTTAAACTAATCGTTTAAGAATTAACGTCACCTTGTGAAAATGGCAGCCACAGTTTCCCAGGAGGAAGTCCTTGTATCTAGAAACAGTCATTCCAAAAGTGTCCACTACTTCATACCCCAACCGCGTAGCAGCTTTAATTACCATCTCATTCCGTTCAGCAGTTTTACGCTGTTCTGCCTGTGAAAAACATGCCATTAGCGATCAACGTTGTCTATACTAGAGTTCATAAGAGGGTTTAACATGCAACAATGGCAACTTTACCAAGTTGTGACGAGGAAGTCCTGCTACGGGAAGGTGGAATCCAGAGCCCAGGCTCTTGATAACAACCTTGATTCCGTTCAAGCCAAGACTGAAGAAAAATTACTTCATGATAAGAAAATGAATAGCAGCACATTATTTATAGTACAATCACTTATTTCCATTTTTTTTATAATAGTGATAAAATGGAAAATTTGTCATTCTCAACAGTCATCTGCTAGCATTCCAAACAAAACAAACCGCGTCAATAACGGTTGATGGTGTAATTACACACTTCACCTGGTTAAGGCTTTATTGGTCTCCACAATGTGTTGGGATCCCATCCACTGAACTCCACCCACAACAAGAATGGTGTTCGTGTTGTTTTCTAAAGGAAGAAACCTGATAGATGAAGAAAAATCATAATTACAACTTATCTCCTTGCAGGCGCTAATTAGACCGCGGACGCCTTAGTGACAGGGGTTAGGCAGGATTTTCCACTGTGGGATACTACACTGTTTTTTGTTTTTGTTTTGTTTTTTTTCTTTTAATGGGTATTTTAGGGCATTCAATTATTCTAATAGCATAAATGATCATTTTTTTAGAAGAGGGAACGAGCACCATAATCCCCACCCCTTTCCCCTTTTCTAGCATACGCCCTTTTAGTACCCACAGGATGTTTTGAGCATATCAGTCATATACCAGGGCGTGAAATTGCGCCTAATACAGGCGCCAATGCGACTAAATTTTTCACTTTGGCGACCAAATCCTGAAAGTTAGTCGCCAATTGGCGACTACAACGTTTCATCATAACCTTACCAAGAGATATAGTGAATTAAATAAATTTGCAAAGATAAATCCGCGGCAAACTTCCTCGTTTAGTTTGTTTCCAAAACGTAGCACATGTATCTCGATCGATAACTAGACGCCATCTTGGATTTAGATGAGCCTGAAGGTTGTATATCATACATCCTAGTGTCCATTTTGTAGCACGTCAAAGATCTTTTCCCTAACTTTATTTTGGAGGGTCTATCTAGAACGCTGACAGCGTAAAGAAAGATTTTGTTTGTCGTTGAAAATGGCGACCAACTTTTTTTGAATTGGCTACCACTTTGAAGAATTCAGGAGCCAAGTGGCTATCAGAAAAAAAAGTTAATTTCACGCCCTGTATACCCATGCATCCCTCGAACAACAACAACAACCACCAATTCATCATTTTCAGAAGAAACCTCCTCAAACTAAAGGCACTGGAGAAGATATCAATAGATGAAACTAAAGCGAAACCAAGGGCATATTACTCTCCAAGGTAGACTTCTAGCTATGGTCGGGAATGTCTCTTTCAAATTTTTCCGCAGATACTCCAGGTAAACAATTTCCCTCTCTTGTGGTATTTTTCCACGTGTTACATCAGCCGACTTAACCCTTCAACCCCTGAGAAACACTAGCGTATAATTTCCTCTTACAATATCACCCCTGAAGCAAACAAAACATTTCCGATCCCAGTGGAATATGAACGACTGAAATCATGTAATTCCATCACGAAATCGGTAGAAGTGTTATTGGATGTGTAGGTTTAGGTGATTGGTTAACCGATTTTTCAAAATTTCCTTTTTGCGGTTTACATGGCTAATGTCTCTTTAACCCCTAAGAGAGAGTAGCAACTAATTTTTCCAACAGTATTCCCCCTTGATCAAACGTTAAGGTCAAGAGAATAAAAGAAATGTTCACCAACTAAAGAAGCTCTTCATTGTGAAACAAATTCTTCTTATCAGCACCTTAGGAAATGTATCATTTAAAGAACAGTATGGAGAAAACCAACATGAATACTGTGCTGACTGATGTTAGGATGGAAAAAGTTCATTAACAAACGCGATGACCATGGAAATTAAAATGATTGGGAGGTAAACGAAAGCTACGAGAGTTATCTACTTACTGGGCTTTACTGTATTTTAAAATGATACAAAAGACATATAAGGAGATACCTCGCTATAAGCTGGTAGAGCGCTTTAACAAAGACAGGTCTCTTGTTCTCACGAAGCCAAAACTGAGGGTAATACGCGAAGCTGACAGAGGTACGGCCGCCGTTCAACTCGTCGCTGTAAATTTTCATTGTATGCGTCTTTTCCCATTTTCTTAATGAACCGTTCAGCTGTAGTAAAGGAATAACCAATCAAGGATAAAGGAAAAACCGACGGTTTTCATACGTCTTCATCGACTAGATATAGATTACTACACTTATTTGTCATCGACAAGTAGAGGCACTTCATTTCATAAAGAGTGATTCCAACACAGTTAATACAAAGGAACTAAGAGTTCATACACTGAATAATAACACATCACTGATTAACTGCTATAAGGTTGTGCAAGCGAGATACAGAGAGGACTTTAACTTACTTTCGTGAACTGGAAACAAGATAAAATCAATCTTTAGTGCAGTCAGTATTACCAAGTAATGAAGAACTACTACAGCTCTTTGCCTCCTTAATAAAACACAATTACACCATAAAAAAATTTAGATATAAATAGAAAGCACCTTTATTCAAAAGCTAGACGTTAACTTCTGCTCTCGTCTCTCCTATCTTCATAGATATAACACAGTTTCATTTGCAAAAATATGGGTTCTCTCGTTTTACGTAACTATACCTTTTCCATAAGGTAATACATAATGCCGCGATTGGTGGAATCTCCGACAAAAAGAATCTAAAGTAAACAAAAAAAAGAGAAAACGTTTGTTGCTAAAGCCTCTTCTTTTCTATGGCTAAAAAGGATTAAATTGATTCGTAAGTTCAAAACATTCAAAGGCGTGTTACCAACACAAAGTTACAGAAATTCTCGGTGAAGCGATGAATGCAATTCCTAGTTGTATCAGATTGCATTATGCTCATGAGATGCGACATCAAAACCAATTGGAACTTAATCACCCGCATTTTCCCGCCTTTTTGGCAGTTTTCTTATTTTATCATGAGATCTCACTGGCTCCTTATGGAATTTGATTTCGGTTTTACAATATTCAGAAGAATTGCACTCTTCAATAAAAATCTGGAAGACAACAAGCCTCCGAAAGTTGAGATGTCGAAAGCAACGTAACTTTAACCACAAACAATGGAAATAATGCTTCGCATAGAGACGCTTATAATCTAGTCAAGCTACCAAGTGCAATGTGAATAATGTTTAATTTGCCTCTCACCTTCTTGTTTGCAAGGCAAGCTCTGGTATAATTCTTGGAAAAAACACTGTACTGACATGTGAGTGGCGACCAGACTGTTTGCCTCCAGAAGCAGCTAGAAGGGTAATCACAGCTAGCACAAGGTAAAACCCAACGACCTGACGATAAGAGGAATTTATCCTAGTGGTAAATGTTTTTCTCACTTTAAAATAGGAAAGTGGTGACACCCAAAGAAACTACATTTTAGCATTTCATCTCCTCTTTTGAAAAAAACTTGCATCTACTTTATATAAGATAAAACTTTAGAAAATTAGTTTTCTGTGGGTAACATCGGGTTGGCGAACTGATTGACAAGAGTTTGCGTCCAAGGTTATGAATATTAATAGCCAATAGTTTCCCTCCTGCTAGTTGTGAGTTTTAACCAAGCTATGTTTCATTCGAGTTAATTTTTTTCATTGATTTTCACGGCCTTTGTGCCATTGGCACATGCTGAGGGCAAACAGTATTTTCCTATTTTATTCATGTACCTAAGGTAAGTATCCTATGATATCTGATACCTCAGTCGAATTCCAATCTATTGCAAAGTACAGGCAAAGTACTAAGAGTGACTGTCATCAAACATGAAGCTCGCAAGAATAAAGGAAAGAGGCTCTTTATTGTTAAACAAATTATCCATGTCAGGACCTTTGGAAATGGACTTAGACCAGAGCAGAGAGTGCGCATACTGATGT